GGTCCAGGAGTCGGGACATCCGTGAGACAGAGCCCTGTGTCTGTGGCTGCCATGTTTCGTTAGCATTCCTTCCCTTAGCAACTCACAGTTTCATCCATTTTTATGTCTGGATGTGGACATGACTGCTGGGTCCCTTCTGGGACGTGACCTGGCAACCTGCAGTGTAAAGAATTTGTCTTTAAGCACCACACTAGCTGGAGTCCCCGGAGAATATTAACTGTAGTAGCTCGCGTGGTGGTCCAGTGCACTGATGCCTCATATTTCTGGGGATGTAGGTTCAAATCCCACCCCAAACCAGCTTATGGGGAGTCCTCCCCAGTTTGCACAAGAATCTTTCTGACAGTCAATAAAACTTGCTGCTTGGGACAGGCTCTAGGCAGCCCCCCATCACCCTATACTGGATACACAGTTAGATGGAGGGATGATCCGTAGTGCTTCTTTGTTTCGTCACCACATTTTTAAGTGGATAAAGGCAGCATTGTGACTTCTTGCTTCTGAATTCCTGTTGCTTTAATGCACCTGTGTGCCTCGCATTTATAGCCACCCAGGGCCCTTTCCTTTGGCCAGCAGGCTTCACAGATGTGCGAGGAGAGACTGGGGAACATCTGTACACCATCGAGGTGTGGTTAGGGGGAAGAAAACCATGCATTTTCCAGGGCTGGTGAAAAAGCCAACTTTTAAAGATGCCAGGAATGTGGTGCAAGACCTGACCTCCCCCACTCAGAGAGGAACCATGGTTTCTGGGTGCTTTTTTCTTGCTCTGTTGTACTACGGGTTCCTCTAGGCCTGTGTTGCGTGTCTGGGAATATGCTGTTGTTTCCGCCCTCAGTCCCTCGTTCCATTGCCTCCTCCTTCCAAACGCCCGTCTTTCCCGGCACAGCTCCCTGGTGTGACCCTGCTTGTTGTCTCCTTGCTCCTTCTCTCATCAGTCGTTTTCTTGTGCTCCTCTGCATCCCTTACGCCTCCTGGTGGCCAGCCTCCGCCCACTCTCTGATTCCTCCCTTTTCCTTATTTCTGTTCTTTTTCCTTCCTGCATTGCCCCTGCAGTGTTTTTCGCTCACCACTTGCTCTGACCCCCTTCTTTGTTTCTCCCAGCTCTTCCCCATGAAAAACATGGAGGGCTTTTTAGAGAAATTCAGATCCAAGACCCAGTGATCCCGATTGGGTACTGTTATTGGCAATGAGGGGTGTAGGGGATTTGTAAAGAAGACAGAGACACTGGCCTGTACACTCCTCTTATGGCCATATTCTCTTTACTGGCAGAAAGCCGATGCCCACGTTTCGTTTTTTCTTTTTGCATGTCAGCGTCTTGCACACACATGCACCCCGGCCGTTTGCTGGAGCCAGTCGCAGCAAAGCTGGATAGTGACTCATTATGCCTGATGGAGAGAAAAGGCAGCAGCCTCCTGCTTAATTTTTTTTTATCAGTTTATGTTTTTTTTTAACCAGAGCCATAGATTTCAGTCAAGACTGCAGGCTGATTCTTAAAGGGCCAGCAAGTGATGTTTACTGTCAAAATAATGTTGACACGGGGGAAACATCCACCAGCGTCCTGACTGCCCCCTGCCCCATTCCCTAACCTCACAAGCTGATTCTCGTGATTGTATGTTGGACAACGTGCATGAAGACACTTTAATTTATGCAGATCATTTGTGTTTTTTAATGATTCAGTGTGGGTAGGGGTGGGGTCGATTATTTCACAGCTTGGGTGACACACTAGCACCCCTGCCCCCACAAACACCCTTTCCTGGTCCACAATGCCACTTTGTTCTCTGGATACCCTGTTTTTGCCAGCATGAGGGTGTGGCAAATGCAGAGCCCATAAAAAAGGCCCAGAGGATCCCTTGTGGGGTGGCATTGTGGTGGGCCATCACCGAACCCCCTGACTTACTATCACCCCCCTCAGAAATCCTGCTGGCCTTTCCAGTCAGGTCCCTGGCCCCCCTACGGTGGGAGGTACAAGTTAGTGGTTGTGGTGATAAAGGGTTGGGAAGGACAGATGTCCGAGAAACAGTGTGGCGCCTGTCCTAAACCAGGCAGGCCAGCTAACCTTGTACTCAAAAATGAGCACCATAGAAAGAGCTGCCTCACTTTTTGCCTTCTCTATTTTTTTGCCGTTTGTTGTTAATCTGTTCCAGATGCTCTCAGATATTTTTTTTACTGGAAAAGAGAGGGGGAGGTGAAGTCAGCAGTATGTATAGGTGGGTGTGTGTGTGTGACCATGTGGGTATTTGGGGAGAGGTGTCTGGCCTCACGCCCCCGCTCATCTTGTATCGTGATGCGGGCTCCAGCTGGCTTTCATTGCAGGATGAAATCATTGCTCTGGATGGGGTCCCCCCCGTCACAGGGGAGGCATGTCTTGGCGTTGTACCGGGGCTGATCCCGGCACTCCTGTGACTGCCTGCCATGGGGGCTGGAATGTCCCACTACTGGCTGTGGGGGGGGGCTTCAGGAAGGATAGCTGCCACTTCTCTGATGCTGAGAGAGTCAGCAAGGAGCTGCCCATGTGAGACCCCTGGCTAGAGGTCATTCTTTGACACAAGCTCTGTCTGACTGTTAAATGTATTAATATCTATAGGTAATCACTTGAGCTCGCTTGGTGGTTCAGTGGGTAATACTGGGGCCTTTCGCTTGGCTGTGATCCCCTGGGATTTATCCGGTTTCCTCCTACACTCCAAAGACATTCAGTTAGGTGAATCAGCATCTCTGAATTGAATTGCCTGTAGTGTGTGTGTGTGTGTGTGTGTGTGTGTGCGCATGCACTCCAGGGTGTACCCCCATCTTGTGCTCTGTGCTGCCTGGGATTGGCTCCAGGCCCCCCTGTCACTATGACCAAGATAAGTGGTTATACAATTATTAGTAATCATATTAATTAATCATTCATAGCAGTGCAAATCCCTGTTTTGTGCAGGTGGGTGTTTTTTGAGATCAGTTCTCTCAGGGTAACATACAGGTCAGGTTTTTCTATCCTTAACCACTGTACCACCTACTATTCCCCCGGAGTGAATCGCAGTGCGTCGTAGTGACATGTGTGATCTCTAGATCAGTGAGTTACCCAGTGAGACTTTGCGGTTCAAGTGTATGAGACGCTGACACTCAGGCCCACAGATTCATAACAAAGATGTTACTCATGCACACAGTGACCTCAACGTGACGAGATGCTGAAGATGGAGCTCAGGACTTCAATGTCCCTCTCTGTCTCTCCCTTTCTTCTCCTTTATTTCTCTCTCTCTCTCTTGCTCCCTGCTTCGCTCTCTATCCTCCCACTCTCCCAGCAGCCTCTCTGGCTCACTGTCAACCGTTATATCAGATTACTTCATTTGGTGTTGATTAGATCAGCCCTGAAAGTGGAGTGAACACAGAGCCCCCCCCGCCCGCCACTCCCTTAGGCTTGAAGTGTGACACAGCTGCTAAACTTTTCCCAGGGAATTGTGGGAAGCGTAGGAGGGGGTGATATTCTAGTCCCCCATCGGTCCCAGGCCAAGTGTGGATTCCTTTCGGTTCCCCCCCTTTACCCCTGCCAGGCAGGCATGACACGGCACAGTGCCCAAATGATGCCCGTGGGGCTGAGCGCGGTGGGTACCACAAGGTGACATCATCACATTTCTAAGAGTAACGCACTAAAGGTCAGCTCTTGCTGTCATCTTTGCACGCTTCAGCCACGCCTAATCTGAGAACCTTTAATCCTGACGGGCAGTGACGTTCGTCATGTTACTCATGAGTCTGTGATCACAGGGCCTATTTAACGCTCTTGATCTAGAAGCTTTGCTTGACCTCTGTGTATCTGCAGCACTACGGCCTGTCTGGCATATTCTCTCAGTTTATTTACTTGCATTTATATTTTATTTGGTGGGAGCTCTCTGGGGGCAATCAGTTGTCGTGCATAATTCACAAGGTCTAATTTGAGAGAAACGGGATAGCGTGTCAGTGGAGAGGAGGACTGTCAGAGGCAAGTGGGTGAACTGGCAAAAGAGACTGGCCAAGCGCGACAGCAGGACAGAGGACAGGACAGAGATGCGGAAACCAGGGCTCAAACGGTTAGCAACTTGGAATGATTATGTGTTCACTTTTCAGGAAATGATCTCCAAGTGTAACTGACATGACTGATGTTTATACTTTCACTTGTGTAACCTGACCTGTGTTTCTGTCAACCATGAGAATTTCACTATTTCATCCGAATTTGTATTTTAACACGCCAAATTTAATATTCAATGTTAAAATATCAGTGAATGCTACAGTTAAATCAGGGTTGGAAGAGTGATATCACTGTTGGGCCCTTCGGCCTAATTGCTCCAGGGACACTGGCTTTCTCAATTGTGCGTCACTGGATAAAAGCATCTGCTACATACATGTAATGTAAATATTTAGCACCATTTGTTAAGCAATTGTTGGTTGTCATTGGTTTAAATTGTGAAGCTTTGGTCTCTTGTACCAAAAAAATGAGTTGGTATTGTGTCATTCATATGGCATTAAAGCAGATTTAAAAGTTCCGATCTTGACAAAAAAAAAAAAAAACAATGTGAAGCTTGTAGAAGTCGATCGCAACTAAAAACAGCAGCGTGACAAATTTATTCCAGCACTTCCATCAGAAATGCCCAGCGGAATGGGAGCAATGTGGAAAACAACAGGACAATATTAGAAGGAACACAAAATCTGACATGTCCATAAGCTTGAAAAACATTTAGATGCATTTTTTTCGCCATCTGTGTAAGAAGTTGATGTTTTTTTTAAATTCTCTTCCATTCTAATACAACTACAAATAAATTCACTGAGTATCTTCATGAGAAAAGCATCCCTTTGGCCACAAATGTACAATAATGACTGTACTTTGATTTGCTTGGTGACGAAAGCACATATTAATGTCAGCAGTGATTAGCTGGTTTAATTTTTAATTTGATGCACTTGAATAAAACTGTATAACTGCAATGCAGAGACGCATGATTCTCACGTCTCCTGTGAATGTTAAACATAACAATCCTCCTTCTCTTTCTAACCCGCAGCGACCAGGACCTCGAGATGAACAAGCTGCGGCAGAGCTTGCGGAGAAAGAAGCCGACCTACGTGCCGGAGGCCAGCCGGCCGCACCAGTGGCAGGCCGACGAGGAAGCCGTACGCAAGGGCAAATGCAATTTCCCAGTGCGGGTAAGGACCCCCATGCTCAGTCGCTTTTTACCCAAACAGAGCACCAATAGCAAAAGGTGTTGTCAGTAGCCATTAGGTATTAAACAAGTTTAGCGAGTTTATTGACCCCAGTGCAAGATTCAAGCAAATTTTGTCAGCCCATCAATATACCTTTATGCATCCAGGATGAAATATGGTCTCCCTGAGCCCCATGGTGCGACATTAACACATTTATTAAACAGGATACAACATTTACTACATTTCATTTATCTGATGATTTTATCCAAAGCGACTTGCAGTAGATAATTAGTGTGCTTCCTGGGATTTGAACCCATGACCTTTGTGTTGTTATTGCAATGCTCTACTACAACATACTAACATTTACACATTAATTAGACAATATTCTTCACATACTAAATTTACACAATGCCTAGATGATATGCTGATATGCTACATACTGTACAATATTAAGGGCAAAAGGGATGCAAAGACCAGACTCGGCAGTGCAGAAGATTGATGTAAAGAACTTGTCATGGAGGAGCTTGGGGGAGCTGCTTTCTGAATGCTTAGATTCACAGTAGCTGTTGTTTTTTGCAATGGGATAGTCCTGCTTCTCCGTGGTGTCAGGAATACCAGGAAAGGGGGGTGGGGTCCTCAGTGACAGACAGGACCTGACATAGAAAATGTGAAGTCTGGTGTCAGTCCTTTTGAGCTTTGAGAGGAATAGCGGTTACTGGAATGGCAGGAAGTATGCAGGAAGCGATTCCCTTCCCATAGACCATCTGATGTTCCAGCCCAGCCTACAACAGACTGGTTAAAGCCCCCCCCCACACACACACCTAGATAGCATCCTGGGCCGAAGGTGCTGGGAAAGCAGAAGGCAGCGATAATGTATTATTGAGCCCACCATAGTCCAGTCCACGGGAGCTCCTGGGAGAGCTTGAAGGGGTGGGCCTGATGGAAACAGAGATGCTAATCGTTCTCCTTGACAAAAAAAGAAGCACAGTTGCCGATGTGCTATAAGCACCTGCCTCCTTAAAAGCAAAACATCGGAGGGATGCTCGATTCATCAATGGCTGGACTGAATCATAAATGTACATACTGCCTTTGCGTTGATGACATGGCACCTTTAATCAGGCTTTTTGAGAGATCGACATTCTTCGATCATTAGGCAAAATATAGCAGGGGGGTTGGTCGGGAAAAAACACTGACTGAGTGCATTGTCAGGCTGAAATGGGACACTTAGCACCTTCAGGAATTTGCAGCATGCTAAAAGCGCTACATCCGTGCTAATGTGAAACCTTAAGCCTATACCTCAGTCTGACGATTCTAGGACTGCTGGTGGGGGGAGTACATTATTTGATTGTTGAGTAGGTGGTTCACACTGGGTAAGTGGATTTTGCTGATAGTACAGCTTGCAATGATTCAGTAATGTTTGATGTTTCCTCCATGTCACGAGGGGCTCAATTCGTGACATGAGCCTATTCGTGTTGGCCCACTCTGTCCCATCTCCCCCCCTCCCATCCACAGTACCTGGGCCTGGTGGAGGTGGAGGAGTCCAGGGGCATGCATGTGTGTGAAGAAGCCGTGAAGAAGCTGAAAGTGGTGAGTGGGGCTAGGCAGGGAGGGGGCTGGGGGCTGGGGGTGGGGATGACTGGAAGGTGGAGGCCTGGGCCCTCCCAATCCTGGGGGCCTCCGACGGGGCATTTTCAGACTTCCCTCTTAGTAATTAGTGCCTGATTTACCTTGAAGATATCAAGTCAGGTGTAGCTTCTCCAAATGCTGCTTCCTCAGTGAGGTTGATGTAGAGGGAGAGCAGCCCCAGACCAGCTTTAATTGCAGTGAAAAGCCATCGTGGTGAATCCAGGGGCCTTTTCTCAGAAATGAGCTTGCCGCTCCCCCCACCCCACACCTGCTATTTCTCATCTCTCCTGCACTTAATTCTTCCCATTATCTTGTTCGATTTAAACCCCACTTCCTGCGAGCCTCCCTCTCCTCTCATCCTTTTTTTCCTTTACTCTCTTCTATTCATTTTCTCTCTATCTTCCAATCTCTCCATTCTGGATTTCCTTATCAGTACTAAGCAGCCAGACCTTGAAGGAGTTGGGCTTTTTTTTCCCTTCCTGCTGAGAGCTTTTTGGAGGGGCGAGCAGAGAAGTCATATACCTCCAGCATTGTGAAAATGTTAAGCTGTACCAAACACAGGACATTTTAAACAGCATGTGTCCCTTGATAATGATGCTGCTTTTCCTTCCCATGGTGTATGTGTGTTACATATATATATTACATCATGGGGACCAATTGTCCCCATAATGTGATAAAAATCTGTTATTTTGACATTGTGGGGACCATTTTTTGGTGAGTGGAGAATGAAAGGAGAGTCACAGATGTGTGTGTGTGTCTGTGTGTGTACCCATGATGCTCTGAAATACCCAGCAACAATGTCTGTGGTTAGGACCACGGTGAGACGTCACAAGGTCCATTGGCTGCCAGGTTCTCCCAGAATCCCGCAGAGCTTCGCCAGTTCCTGGGCGGTTTCCCCAATCTACTCTCTTTATAGGGTTGTGTTTATGTGGGGTTGCACAGTGCAGTGCTGAGGCCTCTCCGACACACACAGCCTTCTCTGGAACCTCCTTCTCTTTTTACTCTGTCCTCCTGGGCCTGTCCCCTTAACCATCTCCCTCAGTTGCGTTTCCCTTCGTTTTGGAGCCTGAGAACAGCATGTCTTCCTTCTGAAATGTCCTCAGATCCGCTCTGACCCTTTCCTCCAGACGGTAAGGAAACGGGTTGCCGTCATTCCTTCCCCCTCTCTTCTGTCTCTCTTCCTCTCCATCCCTTTAGGCACATCCTGGCCTTGTCATGCTTATGTCACAGTCGTTTGTCCCTGCTGTTTAGCTCTCATGGAATCCCCCCCAGTCATCTGTTTCCCAGAAATCCTGGGTGCCACCTTTCCTAAACCTCTTAGTCAGCAGCGATTGTTCATTGTCACTCAAACAAGTCATGGAAATAGTAGTCCGCAGTGATATGGCTTCCTTTTCCAGAGGGGACAATGTTCCCCTTTATAATTGTCTGGTAGCAGTTTTCATGCCCCGGAGGAGCAGGAAGGTTCCTCCATTGCACATCTTCAATATGGCAGGCTCAAGAAGCTGTTTCAGGACAGTTAGGCCCAGTCAGACCAGTCAACGCTGGAACAGCACCCACAGACAAACACAACCTGTCCTAGTTGTTCCAGTACTATGAAAAGACCTAACTGGTTATACCACCATTTTACCTTCTGTGTTTCAGAGCGGGAAGAAGTCAGTCAAAGCTGTGTTGTGGGTGTCTGCAGATGGTCTTAGAGTCGTAGATGACAAAACCAAGGTAAAGCTTCAATGTGCATTTGTGTGTGTGTGTGTGTGTGTGTGTGTATGCACGGTGTATTGCTGATATATGACAGTGCAGTGCTGTTTTGACGCACTGTGAATGCCTCTGCTGTCCTGCCCGCTCATTCCCATCGCTGCAGGGCCAGTGGGCCACCCACAGCCTGGAACCCCCCCCCCCCCCGCAGTGCTGCTTTCTCAGCAGGCGGGTGGGAGTCATGCTCTGCCTGACTCTGAAAGCCACCCCCCATCGCAAGACCAATTCCCGGACTCCCCCCTTTTAGAGAGCAAAACGGGAAGGGAAAGATGCAGAGGTGTCTCCACGGGGATGCCCCCCCCCCCCCACCAGCTTTACTGCCTTGTGCCCACAACTTATCCACACTTCCCTCGTCCCCCTTTATTGCCCCTCATGCCTGACTCATGTTTCTCAATCTGATCTCGGAACCCCTCTTCTCGCCGATTTCCCACAGCACACACACACACCAGATGTCCCTACAAGCTAAAAAGTAACAGGTTTTTATCACATTTGGTCCCCACAATGTGGTAAATACAAACTCACACACACACACACACACCAGCCTTGTCAGACAGGACCATCCTTTCACCTCCGGACCGGCCCCCTCTTCGACTAATTGGCTTACGATGAATGGGCCATTCTTCCCCTCTTCCTTTTTCACGAAGGGAGGGAGGAAGGAAACACAAGGGCAAGTACGTGCCCCCGACCCGCTCTTCACCACCACCACCCCCCCTATTGCGGCCCGTGGTGTAGAATCGGACCCAGTGCCTCGGGTTTAAATGCCCCTTTAGTCAATGCCCTGGAATGAGCCTGGTGTTCAAAGGGACAAGTCTGGGAAATGTTTACCAATAATTCTTTTTCTGTCTCTGGGAGAAGTTTTGCAAAGGCAGTAAAACCGACGAATCGGCACTCAGGCTTGAGCTGGCGCATCATCCGTGCCTGAAAATGCCACATTTGCAAGGAGGGATTTTTTTTTTGTTTTGCACAAAAGCCATGAAGTTTGTGGTTTGTGGTGTCACAGCGGGTAGCTCTGGCTTTCTACTGCGTTTGAGGGTTTGATTTCTGCCCCCAGGTTCTATATTTGTTCAGCTTGCGTGTTCTCCCTGTGTTCTGTCTGCAGTCCAAAAATGTGGTTAGTTGAGTCTAGGGTGTCTCGCAAATGTGTGACTGGGTGTGTGACCTGTGATGGACTAGCATCCTATCCAGAGCGTTCCACTGCCCCTCTTGAGGTGGCCTCTAGGCTCACTGTGCCCAGGCTCCTGATACATAGTGGAGTACCTAATCCCTGCTCGCCAAACGTTCCATGGCAGGACCTCATTGTGGACCAGACCATCGAGAAGGTGTCCTTCTGCGCGCCTGACCGAAACTACGACAAGGCTTTCTCCTACATCTGCCGGGATGGAACCACACGGCGATGGATCTGCCACTGCTTCATGGCGCTGAAGGACTCGGTGGGTGGGGCTGCCGTTAAGGAACCTTGATCAGGTTCTGTGCTTAACTGGTATGACTGGTAATGAGTCCCTGCAAAACACAAAGCGTGTCAGCGTTCTTAAATTGCCATAGGCTCAGTAGGTAGCACTATTGTTCCATGTTCTTGCATGTTCTTCCCATGTCATGTGGGTTTCCTTGTCTAGTCTGAAAACGTGATTAGGCTAAATGGCATCCATAAATGTGTATGTGTGTGTGTGCCCCCTGTGATGGACTGGTGTCCTGTCCAGGGTGTGCTGAAGCTGAAACCTTGTGCCCTATGCTGCCCCTGGGATAGGCTCCAGCACGCCCCCCACCCCCCCTCACCAGAACTGCTCAGAAGACTGCCGGATTGATATTGACATAGTAATATAAAACAGTTGTCTTCATAGAATTAGAATTAGCTCCATTTATATGTAAATTATGGTCGCATTGCCAGTATTACATCATGCTGTGAGTATACTGAAGGTGAAAATGAGAAACTTCAGCTCAAAATATACTCGACCACTCACCGTGTGATGCAAATGTCTGTGTCCACCAGGGGGAGCGCCTGAGTCACGCTGTGGGCTGTGCCTTCGCCGCCTGCCTGGAGCGCAAGCAGCGGAGGGAGAAGGAGTGCGGGGTCACAGCCTCCTTTGATGCCAGCCGCACCTCCTTCGTGCGGGAAGGATCCTTCCGCGTCACACCATCCAATCAGCAGGTCGACCGGGACGTACAGGACAAGAAGAAAGGTACCGTGGCCCCGCCCCTTATAACAAGGACTGTCAGATTACCAAACTTTGATTGCTAAGCTAATAAATTTGCCGCCTTGCACAGTTTATGGGTTCGATATTGGCTTAGGGTTACTGGCCCCCTCCCTTGTGACATTCTGTCATCCCCTGCACATTCCTTACACCTCCAGCAGAGCCATCTTGTCACCCTGGCGTGCCTGCCGTCCCCCCGGGCACAGCGTCACCCCCAGAGGGTGCAGCATCACCAGTCGATCGCACCGAGCCGTGTGGCCCCCACGCCATCCCCCGCCGCCACGCCCCCATCGAGCAGCTGGTGCGCCAGGGCTCCTTCCGGGGCTTTCCAGCCCTTAGCCAGAAGAACTCTCCCTTCAAGCGCCAGCTCTCCCTCCGCCTGAACGACCTGCCCTCCACCCTACAGCGCAAGACCGACTTCCAATCCAAGAACCCAGGTCCGTCATGATCTCGGGCCTCACCAACACCATCGTCCGCCCTTTACCCAGCTAGCAAGTTCAGAAAGGGGAAGGAGCCCTTTAAGTCTCCTCGTAATCTCCCCCTTTCCTGCCCGGGTAGGGGGAGGGGTGTGTTTTAAACGCGTAATAATTACAGCAATTAACGGCGCAGGGCTCCCTGCTAGCGTACGTGATAATTTGATAGCTGTGGCAGTTATTACCATAACTGAGTCGCACAGCTGTTATGTTAACCATCGTATTCCTGCATAAAACGTCAAGCAGCTTCTAATACACCGATCCGCAACTAGTCGGCGGCGTGTGTGAATTCGCTGCATTAGTCGTACGTGTAGTGCTGCTCTGACAGGGGCCGGAAAGGCGTCCTTGAGGGGGGGAGGGGTGCAGGATATGGCACTCCACAGTATGGCAGCTGTCCACCTGGTTCATCCACTCTCATGGTATTCTTGCCCTGAACCCCTTCGTTCCTATAGTTGTTTTGATCCCCACCCCCCTCAGATACCTGGGGGGGGTTGGTCTCTCACTGAAGGCCACACAGAGATTCCTAATGGATACCAATTAAAGGCAGCTCACGGCGCTGATGGTGGGGGCGTGAGTGAAGGGGGGTGGAATCTCTTCCTCTGCCTTTGAAGGCGCTGATATGGGAATTAGGAGCTGCCTGCTATTTTCTCAGCTGTGCAAAATGGCTTGGAGAGGAACGGGGGATTTCTAGTTTTTTTTCTTTTCTTTTATGGAGTGCTTAAGCAGCCTAATAAATTGCTGATTAAGGAAATGGGCTCCTCGGTTCCCCTCGGGTGCCTCCCCCCGCTCAGCCTGTGTTTCCGCCCGCAGTGCCGGAGATGGACCCATCACTGGGGGCCGAGGCAGACAGCATCAACGCCCTGTGCAGCCAGATCAACACCTCGTTCGCCAAGCCCTCCGACGAGCTCTTCGCCGCTAACAGCACCCCGGCGTGCCCAGCGCCCCCTGCCATCCCACCGCCTCCCCTGCCCCTGCAGGGTGAGTCTGTTAGAACAAGAACAGGAGTGTCGTCTGCTTTGTGTGTGTGTGTGTGTGTGTGTGTGTGTGTGCAGGAGCCCGTGGGGCAAAGTCATGTGTTGAGTCGACTCATTCACTGCAAATTTATAATGATAAAAAACAGCCTCCTATTTGTCTCTGTGCCCTGACCCAATGGACCACATGACCCAAAGTTGTGGTCCCATTTGTAGACCCAGTGTCTGTCTTTTTCTGCCTGTTTCCCCTCATTTGTGATAATTTCCCCCCAAACAAAATCTCTGTTCACTCTTCCTGCCACGGCGTCTCGTGGCTCTGCCCTCCGTCCTACCCGTCTCACGTCATGTTTCTCTCCTTCTCGCTCCCCTCTTCCCCGGGCTCCCCGACAGCTGGAAGCTCGTGGGTGCAGCCAGAGCAGGTGCTGCAGTCTCCGCCCGCCGTCACCAGTGGCCACAGGCGGACGCCGTCTGAGGCAGAGCGCTGGCTGGAGGAGGTGGCCAAGGCAGTGAAGGCCCAACCGCAGCAGCAGCCAGCGGTCCCACCCCAGCCGGCTCCGCCCATGTCAGCCATGCCCTGCCCCCCTGGCTCGCTGCCCACTTCCATGCAGCCATTCCCCATGGCGTTCGACGCCACCCCCGCGCCCGTCAGCATGTTCGCCCAGCCTCCCCTGCAGCCCACCTTCATGCCCATGCAGGCCTACATGCCTGCCCTGGCCAACAGCATGACGTACCCCAATGCCAGCGTGCCCGTGGTCGGCATCACGCCTTCACAGATGGTGGCCAATGTCTTCTGCACGGCCACCAGCACGGGGCCCTCTGGTTCTGCAGGTAGCAGCGGAGGAGCCAAATCCGGCCCCATGGCCTCTGGGCACCATGCTTTCCCGGTCCCCACTGGCAGCTTCCCCATGCCACCTTTCGCCAATCCGGCCGCCATCAACGGCATCTCGCCCAACCCAATCCCAGCCACCGCTGCCTCCACAGCCTCCGTCAAGCAGAACGGCAGCGGCCATGGCCCCGCGTGGCCCTCCGAGGCAGCCCAGCAGCCCGCCCCCAGCAGCGACTCTCAGGAAGCTGAGCGCTTCGAGGCCCAGTGGGCGGCTCTGGAGTCCAAGACGCAGCCCACGGCTCCCAATCCCTTCTCCAACGACCTGCAAAAGACATTCGAGATTGAGCTTTAACTGCCCCCCGCCTGCTCCTGTCTGCATAAACTGTGACCCAGACAAAACTGACCCCCCCCCTCCTTTGTCTTCGTTGCTTTCCTTCTTTTCACATCAACAAGGGGGGTGCCCTGTCCCCCCCCCAACCCCCGACCAGCTTTGTAGACGCTGCCACACAGACCCCTGGCTCTTGGACTTGGACGGCAGCTTCAGGGGGGGGGTGTCCTCTCCACCCCCTGCTTCTTCTCTAGGGGCTTTAGACTCTGCTGCCCTAGAGCCTGCAGTGGACATTGGGAAAACTGGACAAAGACAGCTGAGATACAACTGGGGAAGGAAGACAGAGCCGATGACTATTTTATGTGAGGTATCGGTTGACTAGCAAATGACATCATCCAGAGCAGGGGCATTTATAGAGAGGACTGATGTGTCATTTTTGACCAACAAAACGAGGAAGTATTTGATGGCCAAAACATTTTAAGTTATTATTATTTTTATCAGTTACCTTATAAATCTGATTTTAATCACCAAAATATTTTAACTTATTTTTTCCCTGTGTGAATAATAATATTGTTCATATGTTTTTAAAGCTGGAGGGAACTCACCAAATGAAAAAATGCATAATTACTGCCTCATTTGACATCTTGAGTGTGTACCTCATGTGAGAGTGTAAATAGCTTTTTATTGCCCACCTATTTATTGCCCTGTGTGTGACAGTCAATTGCTATTCAACCTGAATGGCTTGCTTCTATACCACTAGGGACAGATCCCCCCTCCCCACACAGCTTTACCAGTAGAAACCCCACCCTCTATCTGAAAGTGAGATATTTGGATTGTTTTCAAACATTTTAATAACCTGACCATGACAGGCTCTGTGAAGCTATCATTCGAATTTCAGCACAATGTAAGCCGGTCTGCATGTGTTTGGAGAAGCCGAAGGGTAGAATGTGAAGGAAAGAGAGATAGGGCTTGAATGATCAGGGTGTGTTGAATATGGATAAGGCTGGTTTGATTGGAAAAGCAGGACATCCCTCTGCTAAAAGTCCCTTAATTCTATTTGTATTCCTGCAAAATGAGATTTGGGTTTGGATTTGGTAGCTAGATAGTCTTCACAGATGGTTTGGTGAATCTTTAAAGAGGAGTGTACAAAAGAGGATACGGAGCCGCTCTGCCTGTCCCCAGGGAGCAAAGGGGTCCTCCTTCGCCCCACAGAGCAGGGAGCGCCATGGTGACCAGAGCAGCGGAGTGCACAGGTAGACACCTTGGGGACGCCTGCTGCAGCGAGGAAATAGAGAGGCCTGAGGACAGGCAGGAAGGTGGCTACGATGCAGAGAGCGGCAAGTCGAAGGCAAGTGAAAGTGAGTGAGCCAGGAGAAGTGGGTAGCTGCAATGGAATTTGGACTTCCTCTCTTATCTGGTACAATTCAGGGATGTGTTAGGGACAGAACCGGAATGGTCGACGAATAGGACGCCGTCACGTGACATGATATGAAAGGGCTTGGTGCTGAATTATTAGTGGTTCTGTTGAAACAGGGCCAGTTTCTCCAGTTCCGCTAATGGATCAGTGGCAGTATTTGGCAACCACCACGGAAGCACAGTGCTCTGCATTCTTGATCATGGCTTTGAGAAGATTGATTACTGAATTACTCTTGGTATGTCTGTGGCTTTTAATCCTTTATATAGGGTAGGATGGAAGGTTGAAATGTGCTTTCAGAGGTTTGTTTGTCTCTGGTTCAGGAATCAGAGGCGGTGGGGGGTACTGAAGAGCGTATGGTAGCAGGAAGATCAGGTACTTTATACTACGGGGGTCCTCTGTGAGTTCTTTCCCTTGTTTACATGTTTTCTTTTTTTTCTTTTTTTTTTGTAGTGACTGGACAAACAATGCATATAAGTACCAAAACACCAACTGAAGAGCAAATTATCAAAACTCACTTGGTCCATTTTTTGTTTTTGAAACGAGACTGCCAATGACCTAAAATCAGGCTTCCTCATCATATGTTACAGTGTTGGGAAGCAAAACTCACTTAGTCATCAAATAATCCAGTGTAGAACTTTCATTAAATTTACAAAACTCACTCAGTCTTCAAGTAATCGAACATAGAACTTTAGTTAAATTTCCAGAACTCACTGAAGTCCACAGAAATTTTATCAAAAAAGTGAGTTTTGGGAATTTGCTCTTCCATTATGCACACAGCTGAATTTCCTTTGGAGTGGTGGGGGTGTGTTTTGAATGAATGCAATGAGATGCAAAGCAGCCAATGGCCTGCCCCTGGCCTGCCGATGGCCTGCCCCGCCTATGGCCTGCCGATGGCCTGCCCCTCCTATGGCCTGCCCCTGGCCTGCCGATGGCCTGCCCCGCCGATGGCCTGCCCCTGGCCTGCCGATGGCCTGTACATGTACGTTTCCAGGTTTTGAACACGTTTGGTTGCAGACACTAAGGGACTGGAGAGAGAAATTGACTGGGCAGGTCATCACAAATAGTCATGTCTCTTCCCAGAATCTCTTGGTCATTAACTCTTAATTACTACTCAATCAATCCGGCTTTTGTATGTGGCAAAATGCTGATCTCTCCATCCGATTCCCATCCCAAAAATCCCAAGAACATTTTTTATTTTCCTTTCCTTTCATGAATTTTGGAAAGTTTCACTGTTTAATTGATATTTTTTTTCCATCCCCACACATTCTAAATTAAAAATAAGTAGATTGATTATGTTTATGGCAAAACAAGGAAACTAAATTACCTCATAAACTTGATTGTAAACTTTAGTGTAGTGATAACAAACCAGTGAAGCTTATTTTTAATCTTTATTTACATAATTTTGTATCTAAACCTACATATTTGTATTGTAATTACATTGTACAAAGATAAATAAATAATATAATATTAAAATAAGTGTTGGTGGTATGTCTTAGCATGCGTGTTATGCTGTTTGTTTTTGTGTTACCAGGCCACGTTGCTCTTTGAAGGCTCTTTCTTGGGACTGAAAGATTTATAGAAGCTTTTCCAACATTTCAGGACACTAAAGGGAGTGTCAATGCTCAAATGCCTCAAAGCTGCGTTCAGTTTCCAGTGCTGTCTGAAATTCGGATTAAACACTGCTGCCACCACCAGCCCACCCCTCCTCCCCATTTTCCATTCTGGTCTTTTTTTCCAGTTGTCCGGCAAGGAACAAATTTTGCATTTTAGCAGCCCAGATGCTAAACAGACTGTTCCACGCTGGCAGTTGTGTGTTGGTCCTTAGCCACCACTTTCATTCTTTGCTAAAATGCAGTTGGATCACACTAACAAAAACAGCATGTTTTAAAAATTAACCGAAATCCTCTGTGATATCGCTACTCTCAAAAACCAAGGAGCCTTTTAAATATTTATGTCCTTCCACCTGCAGACCAGAAAATGTCAGCCCGACTTTCCCATGCCGATTTAAAAATACATCCCCCCCTTTTTTTTTTTAGAAAAAGTGAAAAATAAGCCTCCCCCCCTCTTTTTTAATAATTTGAGTCATTGGTATTGTCCTGCTGAGTAGAGAGGATAATGAAAGTGGACAATGGAAGCTGAAATGCTAAATGGCGGAGTGTTGAGGCCTGAGCCAGATTTACAGTTGGGCTTCTGTGGAAGCAGTGATGAATGGACCATTCACATACACACTGGCACAAAACAATGTGAATTTCACCAAGAGAAAAAAACAAAAGTTACTGCAGGAACAGTGATGATAATACCCATTGCAAGCCCATATCTTACACAAAACATCAAATCTTGCTAATTCACATTCCCCAAATGCAAAGAAAGCATGTTATTATGGTCCTAAAATATTATTATCAAAATGAAAACATGATTGACAAAGATATAATGGCGTGGAGTGGCAGGGTGGGGAATGGGTGCCAGTATAGCCTCACAGCTCCAGGGTTACGTTTACATTTATTTAGTGGATGGTATTTCCCGTATCTTTGAGAAGGCAGGGTCATACAGTATCACTGGAGTGACGGGTTAAGGGCCTTGCTGAAGATCCCCATGGTGAAACCAGTCAACCGGACACACCGTTTGAACCGACGATCATCCGCTTACGAGCACAGCATCCCCTGCTAAGCCACATAAATCCCACCTGTGTGTGTGTGTATGTAGGGGGGTCCTCACACAATATGGAGAAATGCAGCTAGGCTAGTTTCCATTTGTAAATTGTATATGTTCCCAGCAATGGATTGACATCCAGTGTAAGTGGTTGGAAGATAAATAAGGCTCTATTTGATCAGTCTTAGAATTCCACTTTGCTTCTCATTCACTGCTTTACTGTTAAGTAACTATTCACTCCTGGCTATACCAGTAAGAGAAAAGCCTACAATGAGTAATCACAGGCAGTTTGTGTGTTTTTACTGGCTCACGCTGAGTGTCCTCTAGCCAGACGACGTTTGCCACATCTGCTCATATGATCTGTCCTCAAGTCAGCCTGATGGCTCCCCCTCGAACCTGCGGGGTCCACTCAGCCTTGCAACCCAGCGGCCTCCTTCCGGTTCTCCGGTGACACTTTCTGTCGTTTCCACTCACCCCTTTCCCCCATCCCCTCTGCAGTCTCTGTGGTTCAAACACCACAGTAATCTGGCACTCGTGCGCAACTTCCCCTTCTGTCAGCTGGGGGCCGTCCCCGATGACTTCAGCTTTTTAAATTGATCGATTGGAAAGATCTCAGAGCAGAGGTCCTGAACCCAACCATTGCTAGGCAAGCATGTCATCAACATTGTCTCTTTCTGGTAAGACTATATATGACTTCATAAAATAAATAATAATTTATCGTTTGGAAGCATTAATTGATTTAGTTTAATAGGATATATGGAGCTACCATTGTACAAAAAGTTGTGATATAATAAAAGTTTATATATGAATTCCAAAACTTGGTAAAAAGTGATTGTTGTTAGGCAACGCCCACGGCAACATCATCGATGGCAACGGCGAATAAGGAAAACAAAACCCAGCATTTATGCACGTCGAGAAAGTGGAGAGCTGGGAGGAACCTCGCGCTGAAGAGCCGTGGCTGGTGTCCAGGCCATCAGTACGCTGAGGGCTGTTGGCGGAAGAGTCTGCCAGAAATCTGTAGCCTTTTGAGGCAAGATTAATGATGCCCCAAGCAGGGCCTTTTACGGCAGCGACCTGGAAGGGAACTCGGAACACAATCAGTCATAAACCGTGACCAGGGTGCCGCTCTACAAGACGTTGTGTAACAGTTATGAGGCAGCTGAAATATCATCATTCTGGCCAGCTGGCGAGAAAGGTGTGTGAGTGTGTTTCTCCTTACTGACTGTCCCAGTGTTCTGAGATGAAACATATACTCTTTAAGTAAAGTATGCGCAATGACCAACATTAGTCATCAAAGGGAAAAAGGGCAGGAGGCTGCAATTAAGGTTCTAGATTTGGGTGTGGACAGGGCGGACAGTATGGACATTGAAAATCTGATACAAACGACTTTAAGGTGTCTTCTATTAAACGGCACAAGTGGTACCTCTGTATCATAAACAGACAACGGATTCACATTGAGTGAAATGTTACAATTTACCCCATAGTCAGAGATAGTTGTGAAGCAGCCCTTGGTTAAATGTAACATTATAAATGATGTAAAAAAAAAAATCAAGTCAGTTGAAGTTTATCATTTATTTATTTTTTGGTTCAACAAAATTTGTGGGTATGTATGCATATGTGCCCGTATGTTAATCACAACTAAAATCAAACATCATAATAAAACCAAACTAAATGCACAACTGTGAACCAGTTTTAATAACTGACTAATAGTGAATAATAGTAATAACTGAATAATAATATGTGATGTTAGCATTAGAATAACAATGGTGACAGGTGTATTTAACTCCTCCTGGTGCACAGGCCTGATGGGCCCACCTTGGACAACCTATCCATGAAGAGCCAGTATGGGTGCGGGTTTTTGGGCTGATCTCTCAATCAGCCAATAATACAACAGTAGTTCTCAATTCCAGTCCTGGGGACCCACTTGTATTGGCTGATTGTGAGGTCATCCCAAAAAGCCACACCCACACCGGCCCTCCATGGATCAGGATCCCCACCCCTGGTCTGTGCATTTCACCAAAACTCTGTCCGTTTTTTGTTGTTTTTTAGATGAGACCAGCAGCAGTGACATAAGGTCAGGCTTCCTCGTATGTTACAGAACTGGGAACCAAAACTCAAGCCGTCATCATACAACAAAGAACTTTCATTAAATTTAGTCTAAATTAAGTCCACAGAAAGTTTCTCAAAAATGTGGACTAAGTTTTGGAAATCTGCTCTTCAGTTCTGTCAATAATGGTTGAATGTCTTCAAGTTCGAGATAAATCGAGAAAAATCTAGTTGTATTATTTTTACTGTAAGCAACCTTTACCTTTACCTAATATATTCCTTGCTTTCTCTACTTCTTGCCCCTCTTCCCCAGCACACTGTGATCAAGGGGGCCGCGTTGTTCATTTCCCAGCCCTGATGTGACGCCGACTTGGGGATTCCTTTGCTCGGCCTCCGATTGCAGCCCCGGTGCCCCAGTCATGACCGGCTGTGTTTCACTTCCTTTCATCCTCTGCCAGCTCCCTCAACTCTCTGCCAGCACATTGCTGTTCTCGAGACTCCAGGCCTCCCTGTAACTCATCATGTGAGCTTTCCCTTCCCAGGAGAAGCTGAAGAACCGGTGCAAGAGATCAGAAGGGGGGCCTCGCTGACATTGGAGCTGGAGACCACAGACGATGAGACATCAGATTACAGGTACGGCCAAAGACACCGACAGTCTTTTGTCATAGGAAAACAGGAAAGCAGAAGGCATTTATTAAGTCTTCAGCTACAGATTTGCTTGCCGGTGCTAGCAGTGTGTTTTGGTTCATGGCGTTCGATAAAGCCATGCGTGCTGGCCCAACAAGACATGCATTGGCCCCCTTTCACCACAAGGTGGTGTGAGAATTCTCATTCTGGTTTGCACCTTTACATACATACTCTAATATACTAGCACATAGAAACACACTAGGGCTTGGGGTGTTAGTTTAATTTAATAAGTGAAAATGAAAGTGTTAACTTCACTCTTACGTCAGATTAGAATGTTATTCTGGGATGTTAAACCCTGCCATATCTTACTCCATAATATTCTTTATTCCCAAGGGGTTTATTCTAATTGTGCTGTTTGCATTTTTAATGCAACTATTTCAAACTTGGCTATTGTACAAGTCTTTTTGAAAATTTGCGATAACTTTGAAGGGTGTATATTTTGAGAGCATAGTCTTACCACCACATACAGGTGATACCTGATTATCTGTTATTACTGGCAAGAACTTTCATTATAGTCCGGGTGCAGAATACACATTCAGCAATGTACTATGGATCAGCATCTCCATTATAATCTTGTTGAACAAATGGTCCTTGGATTGTACATGTTAATGAGTGTGGGAACATTGTGGATAAAAGTTTCCATTAAGTGAGTAAATGCAATGGAACGCCAGTCTTACAAAGCTGTCTGAGTAGGATAATGCATTTGGGCTCGCTGTCATGTACCTTACATTACATTATTTATGCTTGCATGTGCACTCTAAATGAATCTTAGAGCAATACATTTAACAGGTTAAAAGAATTTAGAGACTTTAAGAAAGATGTTTAACAAAATATTTTAGTGTTTAAGCTGTCTTGGAAATATGCTGATAAATTTGATCAGCTCACAATTACACTTACACTGTACTTGAATTACCTTGAGGTCTAGCATAGAATAGCCATATATGAAACCAATTAGATGATATATATGTGGAATTTGAAGACAGTCATTAAACTTATTGAACCACAAAACACATCTCAGGGAGCAGCCGAAGAAAATGAACAAGACGTACAGCCGAAACGAACACATGCGAGACAGGGATGATAATATAAGT